GTGCGCTTTTGCGAAGAGGGCGCCACCGAATTTTGAGGACACTTTTTTAATTGGCTCAAAGAGAGAAGTGGCCCCTCTTGTTATGATAACACTGCACACGATATAAAGCGAAGAGATACAAGAAAAACTGACAGCGTTATATTATTCGTTCACTGGGTTTTCTATTTAAAAGAAAAGGGATAAATACAGAAATCACAAAAGTATCAACGGATGCATACAGGGGCGTTACATACACTTTGACAATTCGTTGATATGAAACAAACACAGAGTTAGTAACAAAAGCTTCTTAGACGAGGGTTCATAAGTCAACGGGAACATTATTTAACAGAAAAAAAATCTCCAACGCCTCATAACAAAGATGAACAAGCCAGATGAGGTTAAAACTACACCAAGAACATAAACATCAAATGAGGTGCCTATGTATAGTTTGTATACACACTAACCCAAGTGATAAACAACATTAATTTTACCTCAAAGGCTACCCGTTATATTTCCAGTATTCATCATCTATAGTTGCTATTTAGCTTTACAATTCCCATTTTACTGCTGTTCATTTTCCTTACTGGCCGTTTTGCGCAATGACGAAAAAAAGAAAAAGAAAGAAAGACGCCAGTATAATAACAATAATACACCGTGACTATCAATTACTGTATTTAATAAAACAATCATTATTTCTCCAATTCAAATTTTAGCCAATACACGAACCCATGCAATGGCAAAATCTCGAGCACAGAGATACGTTTAATAAAAGTGACGGTGATGATACATTCATTGGAAGTGCAGTGAAAGAGTTCAGTGGGGTCAATGGGGCCGTTACAGTTTGTCGGAGAAGGGGTGTGCAAACAGAAACCGATATGGGGTAAAAAGAGACAAGCAAAAAGACATCAAAGGCAAAATAATAATTCATGTAGCAAAGGGACATTCCCTCCCCCCCCCACCCTTAAAAACAACAACAACAACAACAGCAACAGCAACAACAACAACAACAACAACAACAACAACAACAACAACACCCAAAAACTATTCAACGACCACGTGTGTCTCCCAAGAGGAAATCTTGGAAAGAAAAGCTCGAGTTATACGAGCAAATAGATAACAATTAGGTGATAAAAGATAGGGGCAATATGCATTTTTTTTTTCATAACGACAACCCGAATTTGGAAGATAAAAGGAACGTGAGGCATAATGGCTGCTTGATAGAAATAGATAGATCGCATGGAAAAGTAAGTCTTCTTCCCTACCACAGCTGACACACATATGAAAAATTAATGTATCAAAAACACTAATAATAATAATAATAATAATAATAATAATAATAATAA